TTAAATTCTCTGCACAGTTAATTACTTAAGTTATTTTAGCCCAGTTCTCAACCATCGGGACCCCTTCAAATGATCACAAGATGAATAGTAAAATAAAATTGTATTGTGCATGTGTAGGTCTTTATTATTCTGCACTGTGTAGAAACCTGGATTGAACCTTTGAGCGCCCAATTTCAAAAACATATTAATCGGTTCATCGACATTTCTTTGAACTTTACAGCCCAGATAAATACGAATTCATATTAAATTTTTGCAGGCACTAAAATAACTTCATAGTCATGTTTCTACAGTAGCCTAGAAGGGACAACCCTAACACTGGCTCCAGATAGGACCTTTTTTGGTTTTTTTCAGCCACTGTAGAGCCTCATCCTCCTGTTCCAACAGTTTTGGAATGGGAACGTGACACATAGTGTCTTTTTGGTAGTTTTTGTAAAATGTATTTGCTCCCTTTAATTTTACAACATGTTTATGCTTATTTATCATCAAGTGCTTTCCTGTGTAGATTTTTTCCATATTTTGCAAACACGTACTTGATTATAAATTCTATATTCTTTGTGGCTATATTAACTCTCCAGCCAACGTGGCTCTGAGTGGAGTGGCTGTTCAGTCTTCAGCATGGCTCAGCAGTTTTCATGCGTACCATCTGATTGATGGCATATCTGATACAGTCATGACTCATGGGAGCTGCACTTCCACTAAGCTGGAGCAGAGCCCTTGGTGGAGATTAGACATGAGGGGTCCGTACAACATCTCTTTAATTTAAGTCGTCCGAAGAACAGATTGCTGTCTTACTGGTCCCACTCCTCTGGTCACTGCCATCATCTACCGCCCCCCCAAACCAAACCCCTCCTTTCTCACCGACTTCTCTGACTTTCTAACTCAATTATCTGCCATCTCACCTTCCGTTCTTCTTCTGGGAGATTTCAACATCCACATTGACAATGACTGCAAATCTGCCACTGAATTTCTGGAACTACTACACTGCTTCAACTTCACCCAACACGTCAACTTTCCCACCCACAGCCGTGGTCACATCCTGGATCTTGTCTGCTCCACTGGTCTCACCTTACATCACCTCTCCAGCCTCAACCTCAACATCTCGGACCACCTGGCAATCATCACAGACATTGACATCCCCATTCCCACCATTAAGGATAAACGGACAATATCTTTCAGAAACCTCAAATCCATCTCCCCTTCAGCTCTTACTACCTCTCTTGCAAGTAAAATATCTTCCTCCCCCCCACCGCTGACTGACAACCCCTCTGACCTCACCAAGTTCTACAACGAAACACTCTCCTCCTGTCTCCATCAGCTGGCCCCCATTAAAACCAAAACCGTCTCATTCACCCACTCTGCCCCCTGGTACACTTCTGAACTGCACAAAATGAAGTCACGCAAACGACAACTTGAAAGACTTTACAAGAAAACCGGTTTAACTGTTCATCTCCAAACTTTTACAGACTACCTCCTGCAGTACAAGGATGCCCTCAACACCACCCGGTCCACCTACTACTCTCACCTCATTCACGCTGGCTCCACCAACCCCAAGGCTCTGTTTTCTACAGTAAATAAACTCCTCAAGCCCAGCGACAATACCTCCAAGTCATTCACCACTGACAAATGCAACTCCTTTCTTTCATTCTTTCAATCAAAAATCGACACCATTTATAACAATTTGTCCTCCGCTCCTGCCCCCACAGCCTGCAATCCCACTCCTTCATCTGCTCCTCCCCCCTTCGCCTCTCAGCCTCTGTCTCAGTTCTGCCCCGTGTCACCAGGGGAGCTGCCCAAAATCATGACAGGCATGAAAACCACTACATGTGTCCTGGATCCTATCCCATCTCACCTCATCAAGGACTCTTTACCAGCCATCTCCACACTCATCACAGAAATCATCAACTCCTCTCTCAAGTCCGGCTCAGTCCCCCGCTCACTCAAATTGGCTGCTGTCACCCCCATCCTCAAAAAACCTGGACTCAACCCTGACATCATGTCTAACTTTCGGCCCATCTCCAATCTTCCTTTTCTGTCCAAAATACTGGAACGTATTGTCGCCACACAACTCAAAACCCACCTCTGCTCAAATGAACTGTTCGAACCATTTCAATCCGGTTTCCGCTCCCAACACAGCACCGAAACAGCCCTCCTGAAAGTCACCAACGACATCCTCCTCTCCGCTGACTCCGGCCACCTCACCATCCTTATCCTCCTGGACCTCACTGCAGCCTTTGACACCATCAACCATAACATTCTTCTCTCCCGTCTTGAGTCCTCTCTCAGCATCACTGGCACTGCACTTTCCTGGCTCAAATCTTACCTCACAGACCGACAACAATTCATCCATATCAACAACTGCACCTCCTCCACTGCTCCCCTGTCCCAAGGCGTCCCCCAGGGTTCGGTGCTTGGTCCTCTCCTCTTCATACTCTACCTGCTACCCATTGGCAACATCATTCGCCACCATGGTCTCCACTTCCACTGTTATGCCGATGACGTCCAGCTTTATATCTCTACCAAATCCATCACCCCGGCCACTCACTCCACTCTCTCCAACTGCCTCACCGACATCAAATCCTGGATGCATTCCAACTTTCTCAAACTCAACTGTGACAAATCAGACCTCATCATTATCGGCCCCAAATCCCTCACCAAAACCACAGACAGTTTCCACCTCACCATTGACAACTCCACCCTGTCTCCATCCCCCCACAGTCGCAACCTCGGAGTCATCTTTGACAATAACCTCTCCTTTGAACATCACATAAACCAAATCACGAGAACTGCCTTCTTTCATCTCAAGAACATTGCCCGTCTTCGCCCATCACTCTCCTTCTCTGCTGCTGAAACCCTCATCCACGCCTTCATCACCTCCAGAATCGACTACTGCAACAGCATCCTCTATGGCACACCATCCAAAACTCTAAATAAGCTACAGTACATTCAAAACTCCGCTGCACGTATGCTCACCCACACCCGCACCCGTGATCACATCACTCCCGTCCTCCAGAACCTCCACTGGCTCCCAGTTCCACAGCGCATTCAGTTCAAAATCCTCCTCCTTACACACAAAGCCCTCCATAACCAGGCTCCTTCCTACCTCACTGACCTGCTCCATCGCCACAATCCATCCCGCAGCCTCCGCTCATCTGAAGCAAACCTCCTGACTCCTCCACCCCGGACCAAGCACCAAACCTGGGGCGACAGAGCGTTCTCTGTAGCTGCCCCCTCCCTCTGGAACTCTCTCCCCAAACACATCCGTGACTGTACCGACCTTCCAACATTCAAATCACTGACAAAAACTCACCTTTTTAAAATTGCTTTTAATGTTTAGCTAAGTCTGATGTGTTTTTAATGTTTTACTATTTGATGTTGTTTGGCTGCTTTTATGTTTTTTTTTTTTTTTTTTTTTTTTTTATGTAAAGTGTCTTTGAGTATTTAGAAAAGCGCTTATAAATAAAATGTATTATTATTATAAAAAGCAAGCATTTCAGCAGTGGTTTGGTACACAGGTACGAGTTACTCAAAAGGAAATTAGCCAAATTGTAAAGCAAAAGATAAAGAGTAAAAGGCAGGCATGGCAGGGAGCGTACACAAGAGAAGAAGATATAATTTGCAGGTGATCAAAGGGATAATTCGGCCTTTGCAAATGAATTAAACAAATCCAATGGCAGGTCTGATACATTGTATTGCAGGGATTCGTGATTCCTGTGTAGCACATTATTTTCCTAATAATCTGACTAAGAACACAAGGAGAAATCTCTTTGGTGTGTAAATAAATCCAAGGAGACATGTTTTACATTGACTGAAATGCATCCAAATGACAAAGAAAGATTGAATGATGATAATGGAATGATTGTTAAAAAAATAAGAAAATGGCACAATACAGTCAGAGAATTGAATAAAAGGTTTAGAAAACCATCAATAAACTCACCTCTGATGTAATATTGACAGGAAATAATCCCGTTTTGCACAAACTTCCTGCAGTTATTGTTTTCACTATTTGGACTTGTACAGCTTATCAGTCGTTCTGTATCGTTAATATCCATAAAATATGTCACTCAGTCAGGGGTCGTCAGTTTACTCAGTGAAAGAAAAGGGGTCCATTAAGGAAAAAGACTGGGAATCGCAGTCCCTCCTCTGGTACAAGGCAGCAAGAAAACATCTCTTCTTCCCAAACAGGCTCATGGGATAAATATGATCTGTTTAGGTCCATCTTATGGGAAATCCTTCATGGTAGTGTTTGATTGTCGGTGATGTTGTGGAGCACTCCTGCTGGTAAATGTCTGTTTATAACTGTAATATTTTGACAGTTGCCACAGGCACAAAGGGACTTTCTGAAAGCACAAATAACTCAACTAAAACTGAGGCTTTTATTTTGGTGAAATTACATTTTTCCATCTTTTGTTGTCAACATTTACATGTTAATGTAATTAACTAGTAGATGTGAGTGAACTTGATGCATGGTGGCAACTGTACATTTTCTTTGATTTTATGAGTTTTAAGAATCTATTAAACTTAAATCGAATGTTTTAAGTTTTTAATACAGCAATCACAGGCAGACTGAAATGGCCTTTAGGTTTTCTAATGTTCCACATTGTGACTTTATGTGATTTACCCATGTTTTGATGCCAGAATGTCAACCACAAACCATTATTAAAGACAAATATAAAAAGACAAGGCCTTTATTTAATTTCTGAATTGTGTTTAAACTGTATGGTTCCTTATGCTTTTGGTCCTACAAACTGTGTGTTGAAAGATAAACAACAAACACTAAATCTTAAATAATTGACTGATTTATACAAGACATATAGATAGTAGACATATGGGTTTAACCTGACCTTGTCCTCTTTGACCCTTTGCCGACCCTGCCAGAAATTTCACTTGCAAATACATGTTGAATACACCATCACATGCTAGCGTGGGTTTGCATACAGTATGTATATCTTTAAAGCCTCACATAAAGTGACCATAGGACTAGAGTGGCGGGGCGCGCAACACATTAATACTTAAATAACTGGAATTTTGTTGTTATTGGACAGAATACGATAAAAGAAAAAAAAAAAAAAAAAACGTTGATTCTGTATCCTAACTCTTGCAACTCTCATCTACGTTTGCAGCCATGGAGCGTAAAACGGTCTTCTTTACAGGTAAAACTAAAGAGTGATTAATTAAAAGTCTTTATTGTTGATAAAAAAAAAAGCCTAAACTACTTTCTATTTTAAGCCAACAAAAAGCTGCTGTCAAAGAAAAAACAAACGGCATTCATATTAAACTGTTTAATCTGTTAATTACAATGTTACAATGAGAAACAGTAATGGTTAGTGAAGGGAGTTGTCTGACAATAACGGTGAGATAAACAGTAACATTGTGACAGTGAAATTTAATTTGCAGTGAGGTTTAACATAGCAAACGCTCATTTGAATTCATGTTAAAGGATATTTAAGACCAATGGGGAGTGCACGGACAAAGAACTTCATAATGATAAAATTATGCAAAAATGTTAAAGGTTTACCTTCGAAGACGCCACAGTCGTCTCCTCTGTGTTGTGGAATTTCGTGGGTTTGAGGATTTTACATTTTGTTATTACACACAAATATGGATATTTGTTGCTAAAACTGATATTTTAGACTAAAGATCTTTAAATCAGTTTTTTTTAAGACAACAATAAAACTTAAATTAAAATATAATAAAGGGCTTTAATATTTCTCCTCCTGAAAATGATGTCCTTGCAGTGTGGAGAACAGCGATTAAATTAATAAATAAAATGTCTATTAACACTCTTTGACGTATAAGATATAAGGACATTTTTATTTATGATGTTCAACAACTAATTTCTTCTATTAAGCATCTGAATCTGTGTATATTCAGTTAATAATTGATTGATGGAAGACGTGATAAGTGCATCGGACAAGCTCCCTGCACAGGAGGAGTGTTTATTTATACATACTGTGTTTGTGCATCTTCTTTTATTTTTGGGGGGACATTGGCTAAAAAAAAGTGGATAACATTTTGCATTCAAACATCTACTAGATCATGAAATCCTAAAATAAATTAATATACTATGAATGCCTTGAATTGCAGATATTTTCCTGATGCTTTTGATGGCTGTTACTGGGACTGAGTCAAATACCAGAGGTAGCTATAACCAAGCACTGCAACGCTCAATCACAAGTACACAGTGGATGTTTTTATAGATTTTATTTCAATCTTTTATAAAAATAAAAGTGAGTGAACCAGGGGATAAATCATGGGGCTATAGCTTCCACAAAGCAGGCTCTACATAAGTTTAGGAAAGTATAGAAACATTTTCTAAAGAATTAAATAGTAAATAATTAAATGTTGTAGTTGTGTGTTTTATTTGTAAATTCCTACTTTACTTCAAATGCTTTAAAGCCTATATTATTTGATATGGCGCCTCCTGTTGCTGATGGATTTACACACCTCTTCCAAACAGGAGAAATTTGAGCAGCATAGTGTTTCTACTGCCTTAATTTCTGACTGAAATAGTAATTTTACTTGTACTTTGTTCGTGTAGGTCACATCGATGCATCAGTATTAAAGTGAGGTGCGAATGAGCTGAAAAATGAATGAATGAAGACATACTGCAATCATATTAACGTCTACACTTTCATGCCCTGAAACTATTTTAACTTCTCTGTTTCCAAATTATGTTTTGCTCCGCAGTGGGTCGTCCGTACCACTTTTTAAATATCCCAATGACACGGAGTGAAGCTCAGAGCTTCTGTAGAGTGAACTATGCTGACCTGGCGACCGTGGACAACATGAAGGAGTACGTGCAGCTGCTGGAGAGCATCGGCAGTGCTGATGTGAGTGGCATCTGGATAGGCCTGGAGAGATCAGCGTCCTATCGGTGGGTGTGGTCTGATGGCATTGGGGAACAAGACGTTTATCCCTTCAGTGAAGACAAACAAGATGGTGACTGTGTGATGATGAAAACATCTGGGTACTGGGAAAAAAGCCGATGTACTGACCTGAAGGCCTCTCTTTGCTTTGAATGTAAGTCACAGCATTGATTGTTTGTATTATTTATGTATCACACAAGACAAAAATAACAAATTACAATATAACTGCACAAGAATACAGCCTGTTTATGATAAGTGCAGTATAAAAAACGTAGAATGTAAACTCTCCTCTTTGCTAAAACAAAGTGATGGTGGATTTATAGCTGTATTAATCAAATGCTTTCTTCCAGATGACAGCCAGGGGACAGAAAGTTACTTCCTGAACACCACACTTTTATCATGGCGAGACGCTCAGAGCTCCTGCAGACAGCATCACACCGACCTGGTCAGTGTGAAAACTAAAGAGCAGAATACAGACATTTATGGTCATACCAGCGGCTACCAGATCTGGCTCGGAATGATCGCCGACAACTGGATGTGGTCTGATGGAAGCCCTACCTCTTTCAGAAACTGGGAGAACACAAACCCTGATAATAATGGAGGTGCTGAGAACTGTGTTGTGATCAGAAAGTCCTTCCAGAATCAGTGGGATGACACTGCTTGTGATCGCAGCTATCCTTTTGTCTGTTACGGTGGTGAGTCAATTGAAAATATTGTAATTCTGCTGCTTAGTGCATCAAGTTCCCACCCGTTATAAGGGACAGACCAAAGGTATTCTGGGAAATGTAGTAAAGCTCTAGCTGAGGTAAACAACATATATTTTTAAATCAAGATTATTTTGTAGAATTTAGTGATATCTTGTGGTGAAGTTATAGGTTGCAGCTAACTGAATACAGCTTGTCACCCAAGCGTGTAGGACAAACTATGGTGGCTGTGAAACTCACAAAAAATGTAAAAGGCTCTATCTTTCTGGACTACTGTAGAAAAACGCTGGACTCTGTGGAAGAGGAATGAAAACATACATATGAATATTTTATTCCATTTCTGCTAAAAGATCCTGAATGTTACACACTGGACCTAAACAAATAATATGTAATGTACTATAGCTGTAACATGAAATCTTTAAATTAATCTTTTTTTTCTTTGAATCTCTTGGGAACTGTTTTAGAACAGAAAATCAGGAGAACTACGGTGAAAGTGAGAATTAGCTCTGAGGGAAATCTGAATCTTGCCACACTGAGTGATTCACTGCTGAAGCAGGTGAGAGAGATGAAGAGCCAAAATGAAAGAGATTGAAGGACAATAGATCGTACACTTTAGATTACTCACTTGCATATCTGGTTGCAGATTCAGGCACAACTGGAAGAGCAGAGTGGGACTGAGGTCAAACTCCGTTGGCAAGCTGCCAAAAATGGACAAATCTTCCAACACAATGACAATGGAAGCAAAGAAACAGGTTCATAAGTTTCATTGAGATCTTAAGAGCATGAATGAAATTAACCACACCCACAAAACCATTTTTTATGCATGTCTTTCGTTGCAATTTTTCTGAGGCTTATTATGTTAACAATTAATATTAAGTAACTGAATCTCTTTTTTTTTTATGCAGGTTGTTGAATAAAACCCATCCAAAGGTCTCCTGCATGTTGAAGAAGCGGCTTTTCACTACAGTCATGTGTTGTTATGTATGTGTAATATGTCATTCTAGCTTGTATTGTGCTGTATTTGTGTTAGTGGTGATTACAAATCTTTGTGTATAAGTCTACTAAAGAGTCAAGATCCACTTCGACTACATCCTGTGTTGTGATTATTTGTTGTACTTTTTATGAAGTTAGCTGAATTGTAGAGAGAGCTTAATCTTCCCCTTGTGCCAATATACAACCACCCTGTGATCACGTGACTTAAAAGTATGGAACCGACAATTGTAGCATCTCCATGAGCAAAATCCATTCACTGGAAGTTGAGTTTTCTTTTGCTCAAGAATGAACTTTATTAACAACCAACGTAGACACTTTTTGTTATGAATCTGCAGTTCTTAAACCTGAATTACCTAAATAACTTTTTGATTGATTTTATTATCATCTTATAAAGTGTTTCCAGCTATTCACACATAGAGATGTGATAGACATTAGCCTTCATTTGGGGTTGAGTTTCTGTTTCTTTCAGCTCTGTTTTTGGTCTCTATTAACTTGTTTGGTGGTGTGTGTATAGTCACAGTAGACATCATTATTGAATCCATTGTTAATGTGAAAATACGTATTAGAGCAGCTTTAACTGTCTGATGGTTGTAGCACATAAACACTGTCTATTATTATGCAACTGGAAGAAAATATGTTTTTGCTTGTGTTACTTTTAGATTTGAGGGAATATGCACAGTTTATTTACTGTTTTGTAGAGGCTCATTTTTTATTTTTTGCAATATAGTACTAGATGATAATTGTTTTTAAAGAAAGTCTGTGTTCTGGATTCAAATGATTTCATAATAAACTTAGCAGCTTAAGGGTGAGGCTGTTTCATTTTGATTGAAAGGTTAACGCAGGCTTATGAGGTAAAAAGTAAACAGTCATTTACAGGAAACTTGCCTGACATGAGTGAGCAGAAAATTTCATTTCTGTTGAAGTGTAAATTGAAAGTGAAGTGGATTCCTGTCATTCAAGCATGAACTATTGAAGGCATTATTGTGTACAGTCCATTTGTTGTGATAATATGCTAGACAATGACAGGTACGCCGTATCCAAGGTACAAGTATGTACAGTATGCAGAAGGCGTGGTTTAAAACTGTTTATAAATGACATCCTCAGTACCTTTAGTCACTCACACACCTACTGGATTTCAAACAGGTAACGATATTTAATTTTTTCATTGGTTGTTATTTAAAAAGGTTTTATTATGTCTGCCATGATTTAAGCAATATTTGGTAAGAATGTGTGCTGCTCAAACTTTTCATTTAATTTAACTGCATTGTGACTGTTAATTAGTAGTAATTAGTTCAATGAATGAATTAGTTTCAAAACCACTTCCAGAAAATATTTACCTTATATCAAAATTGAACTTTTTTAAAATTTTTATTATTCCTGGACATTTTTCTTTTTGGGATGCTGTGATTTGATGAGAAGTCTTATGTTTAATTCTATAGATCTGTTCACATGTCGTTGTAAGTAATCTCTATTGTTTAAACAAATTTAGTAAATACCACTTTCTGATCATTCACCAGTTACAAAATGGTTTATAGTTGTTACTAACTTTAATAATGTTTATGAAATAATTTACTATTGCTTATTTGTGTCAGTTAATTATGAGAAGACATTTTCAGTATCCAGAAATCCAGATTGTGAAAAGCCTCTATCGTGAGTCACTAATATTCAAATCAGTAATAAATGCTGATGGGTTTCTTTTTTACCTTCTAATAAGCCAGCAAGTCTGTAATTATAAATGTTAATAAGTCATTATTAAAGGGGAATAAACCATCAGGTCTGCAGTTACAAATATACAAATGAGGCAGAGAGCAAAGTGGTCTGCAATATTTATGTCAACAAATAATTTTTTTCTTCAGGATCTTGAATGTTTGTTTGACTAATCCCACCTCTAAAAACCCTTTATAAAGCCTTATTAGAAAGTGATCCTGTCTCTAGGTTCACTGCATTTCCTTTCTTGGGCCACTTTTGATAGGTACTGACCTCTGCAGACCGGGAACACCCCACAAGAGCTGCAGGTTTGGAGATGCTCTGACCCAGTCGTCTAGCCATCACAATGTGTCCTTGTCAAAGTCGCTCAAATCCTCACGCTGTCCATTTTTCCTGCTTCTAAAACATCAACTTGAGGACAAAATGTTCACTTGCTGCCTAATATATCCCACCCACTGACAGGTGCCATGATAGCGAGATAATTGTTACTCACTTCGCCTGTCAGTGGTCAAAATTCTTATGGCTGATGGATGTAAAATATTGTGCATTTTTAAATGTAATGATTAACATTGGCTCTGTTGTTATCACCTCTTTAGGTATTTGAAGACTATCTTTCTGAAGAAAAATAAATTGATTTTCATCTTGAAGTTTAAGCTTACCATCATGGAACGTAACTCAAGAGAAACTGCGGCCCCTGACAGCAGAGAAGAAACCCTAGTGGTTGATGAGGAGATGTTGAATTCGAGGCAACAGAGTGACTTAATGCACCAGTGTTTTCAGTATGTCCAACAAAACCCAAGCTCCACCAACACACAGCTGTTCTCTTTTTTGGTGCTGCTGAATGGGTACATTCCTGAGTCCTACCTCCTGATGTCTGAGTGTCAAAAGATCCTTGGACCACCTGATCCCATCCATGGAGGCCCACCGTTTGAAGAAAGAATGGAGCCATTTACTCCCTTCATCAACACATCCAATCCTGAACATATATGCCTGACTGACCCAAAGTTTGCACTGATAGCTGTGGACAAACTAGCTGGCTTAAGGATTTCCAGGAGTACAACAGTGAAGAGTTTGATGGTCTTACTTTGTGGAAATCAGCCTCAACCACACACAATCCAGTTCATCAAAGATATACTGACAAAGAGAGAATTGAGAGAAAGCGGTAAAGATAAGTTCTCACGATTGATTGAAGATATAATGGATCAAGAGAATTTCCACCATGCTGTCTCTGTCCTGAAAACTGCATCAGATAAACTGAGACAGAATCCCATTTTCCCTCAAACCCTTTCACGTCTTTATTACATCCGAAGAAGTGACTATCCAAGAGCTGAAGAATGGGCAAAGAAAGCAATTGAACGAGCTCCACAAAACTCTTATGTGGCTGACGTTTTGGGGCAGATTCAAAAGAACCATTTAATGAGAGCCACACGACTGGAGGATATCTTAAACAGGGCACGAGAGGCCTTTGAAGCATTTGAAGATGTGGAGAGGATAGCTGAACAAGAAGAGAGCCCTGACATGAGGGACACAGCAGGTACTGCAAGCATTTCAAATACCTTCAACAACAGAGGTCTTTTTGGCTTCATTCAAGTGGCAAAGATAGTCTTTGAGAAACTCAGACCTTCAGAGGAACACAGGAACTTCATCCAAACGTTAGAAATGGGAGTTGAAGCCAAGTTTGACTTTTTTGAATGGTACCTAACCTACTCCAAGCCTGGCATGACAACCTCAGAGCCATGTTACTTCTGGAAGGACGTTGCACTGTGTTATGAACACTACACACAACAAACAGCGGCTGAATCCACCAGCTTCCCAGGACTTCTAGATCGTCTGAATCACGGCCTTTTCACGTCAAAAGGAAGACGTGCCGGGTTTGAGGAGACTGAAGTAACAGTGTCTGATTTAGAGGCAATCCGAGATGTTTTGAAAACCACCTATGAGGCAAATGTTGATGATGTCAAAGCAGCGGAGAAGTACATCCTCTCCAACATCCTCTTGAGCAACAAGATGCATAACTCTCCTCAGCTCACCCCGGTGAATGAACTCCAAGCAATAATACACAGATTCTTGGGCACAGAAGTGGGGCGCAGACGCCCTGAGTTTTACCTTTTGGTTCTGCTGTTGTTTTGGCCTGAGGAACAGCCTCTGGTGTTGCAAGAAAAGGATGAGGAGGAGGTGGAACAACAGGCCACAGAGGATGACCTGTCAGAAGACACAACACAACAAACCTGGGAGGATGATGACAGGGACGAGGAACAAGACACAAGAGGAGAGACTTCACAACTATCTCTTGACTTTACGTCTGGTCCTGACCTGCAGCAGCAGGTCACGTTCATGGAGCAAGCGTTTGAGAGAGCCAAGTATGCCAAGTACCTTCGAGGTCGGTACCTTTTGCCTCTATTTTTTCTAGGAAAGGGCTCTGGACTGAGCAAATGGATTCACAAATCAAGGCTGGATGCAATCGTGGAAGAAAAAGTCTCTGCTGAGCTAGCTGATAGACAAGATAACACAATGAAGGAGAAATGGAGGCTGATCAATGACATGTGGGTCAATGGGAAAGTATGGCAAGTCCCAGAAATCCAAGATATACTTCTCCCAGTCCGGGTATGCTACTTACCCACGATGCCACAGGAGAATGAAGAACAAAGAGCGTTTGTTTGGGCTGGAAAGAATAAAATCTGTGCTGAAGAAGAGGTTGTACCTGAGGCTTCAGTGGAGAGCCCAAGGCTTTTCTATCTTGGCTTCACCATTCGGGGTCCTGTCACCTTCAAAGTCCCACGTCTGGACAGTGATTCACTATTAACACCACAATGAAGACACAACAAACATTAGCTTGACAACATTACAATATTTTACTTAAACATAGACTAAATGTCACCTGTGTAAGAAAAGTTTAAAATCAACTTTATGTCTTATGTTTGAGGCTGTAGTGGATTGTATGCCCTACAAGTTATGTTCCTTTAATCATTCTGTATCATTGATTTTTGTGAAGGTGGATGGGCATATGAAAAACTTTCTTTCAAATTAGGTTGACGATATTTTTTACTCAACACAGCATTATTATTGTTATTACTGATATTATTTTTATTATTCTTTTAATTATTATTATCATTATGGTTTTACTAAAATGTCTGCTTCAACAAACTTATAAATATAGATAGGAGGTTTAAATATTGTATCAGATTGCATTGGATTTCGTGTATACTTTTATTCAAATGTATTATGTATGTGTATTCTAAGAAAAAAATTAATGTTTTCAAAGAAATCTATTATGAAAACGTAATATAAAATAATGTATGCATTTGTTTTGGAAATAAAATCAAACTTGGAATGGGATTATTTGCTCTGCATGTGAGTTTTATGATGTCAGATGATATACTGATGTTTGCTGCCTTCAGGTGCTGTCAGAAACATAAAATTTAAAGGGACAGTTCAATCCCCCCCACCCACAAAATACATATTTTTACTCTTGCCAGTGGAACTCAAACCTGTGGAGCTGAAAGTGCAAAACCAAACAAGCAAAACATTTGAAAAACTATGAACCAAGAGACTCAGACCCATGGCAGGACAAACACATTGTCTGTCTTATAACTCTAATTGAAGAAGTTGCTCAGACATCGGAAATCACATTGTTTCATTTAAATAGCCATCCAATGCCTATTATCCAATATTTCATAAAATAGAAAAATAATAATTTTATCTAATTTAAAATATTTAAAACATAATTTATCTGGTGATTCCTTGGAGTGGACTTGATCTCTAGTTTGGGAACCACTGGAATAAATTGCCTAACTGTGTATTAGTTAAAACTAATGTTTAGTACTATATGTCATATATAATAATATATCTATCACAGGGACAAAACAAATAGTCCTACTTTTATTGTGAACACTTTTGTACTTTTGATTTAGTAGGGTATTCCATGCAGGACCTTTAATTGTAATGGATTAGTATTTATTTCACTAATAAGTAATTATGGTGTGAAGTGCACAACACAACAACAAAACAGAAAACACAGTATGTTTTTAAATATTTTATAAAAGCACATTAACAAATTTAATTAATTTAAAATAAAAAAAATAAAAACTAATTTGTTTTAGTATTTCATCCAGTGTTGAATCAC